TAGCAATCATATAATCATTTATTGACCACTGGTATATGTGAAGCTTACCTAGCTTATTTTTACTGACATTTGAAGCATAGTGTACCATGAACTATATCTGTTATTCAGATAGTTTAGAACTCCAGTAAGTACTTGAGACAAATGTCCAAGATAATAAATGTATGAGTTAATAGGCAGTCATTGATAAACAAATAGGCAGATATAGAAGTGACTTCTAGGTATATATGCAGATGCAAGAGCAACTTTGAGTGACATATACCATTCTGATAATGCAAACATGAAGCTCACTTTATCCTGGTTGGCTCTAAATATCTCTTCTTCCCTGGAAAGGATTAAACTTAGTTCTATCCAGCAGACATATTTCTAACCAAAAATATTTTGGTGTATAAAAGAAACTAGAATTTCAATGTTGATCTAGTTTCAGTCTTCGGTTTTTATCTCACTTCTCGTGTTTTCACCCCTTAAGTCATCCTGATCCTACCCTTAGTTTCATAGAATTATCTTTTGTCTTATTACAAAGGAGTGACTGTAGGTCAGGATATAGCTATGAAAATGGGCAGCTATATAGCTGGCTCTGGTGACAGCTACACCAGCTGGAAATGTTTTTGTGGTGATCGGTTTCATCGCTGGCCATTCTGTAACGTTACCTCTGCCACAGAGTATTTTCAAGATTCTTCCAGCAGGCTACTCAGCAACTTTTGCACAACTTCAGACACCATAAATTTGGATGCGTATCATCTGTCGGACTCCTTTAGCAGTCTGCTATAGTGGAGTGGGACGATTCCTGTCAAACATAACCCAGGTTCAGCTACCTTCCTAATCCTCCTCTAGATTATAAGAAACCTATCAATGGCCTAGCACCTACTACTCTTCTAGCCATAGTCAGATAACTCATCCTGTCTGTGCCTCAGTGCTGGCGTCGAGTATAATTTTAAAACTAAAGAAAGTTTTACTATGGTTTTCAATTGTGACCTTTCCCTAGAATAATTTAGCATCTACCCATTAATCCTTGGCAGACGACACATCTGAAATCTGGTGAATCATGGTTCTTTCTCGTACCCCTGTAATAAGTGGAGAGATAACTTTCACAGTCAGCTCAGCATAGCGTTGAGATTTTTAGTATTTCTGAGAAAGATAAATGATGCCTTCTTCATCTCTACTGGTATAATATGTAGGAGTTCATTCTCGTCTTTACTTGCAGAATTAAATGGTGATGAGCTGGGTGCAGTGCCAGTTACCTGAAATTGAATTTTGTCCTGTTATTCACTGTGTGCCCTTTCTGCAGATTTAAAGAAATGACAGGAAAAATAATCCCTCCAAATCTAACTTCAAGACAAGGCTGACAAAATACAGCACAAGCCCCCACATTTTTTTTAATCCTGAAAGGCATTGTGTCAAAATTCCTTATCAATCTGCTGCTATGAATTAGGAGCAGTGTAGCACTGCTTTTGTTTTGCTTTTAAATACATAAATTAAGGAATATATAACATTCCCATGCTTTAATGTTCAAGGTTTGCATTCTAAAAGCAGCTCAGTCAGTCAATCAACAGTGTGTATCCTTCCGAGTTGGGTGACAATTATTCCAAACATAAAATTGTTGACATCCTGAAAAAAAAATTACCTGGGTAATTGCCCTTTAAAATGGAGATAAAAATTCTATTTTGATTGTATTTAAAGAGCACACTATAAACTGAACTACAATTTTTATTAGATCTGAAAAAAAAACTTGTTTTTAATTTGCCTGTAAAAATAATTTCAAATGTTTATGGAACATTTATTACTTTCAATAAATTTTACAAGTTTTGGTACATTGCAGAAGAGAAACAGCAATCAACAACACACAATAATAACCTTGGAATCCTGGCTAGCGGCAACTAACTCCATTACAGATACAAACCAAGTAGAAGAATGAACAAATTGGTTGTTTGGAGAAGGAAAGGTGATTTCTGCCTTTGACAGAAGCAGCAGCCTCTCAGCTCTAGCTAAGATCTGTGGGGCTATTGCAACATAGCTGTGTGGAATGTAGATAAATTTTTTTTACCAGAAAATGAAAATCTGGAGTATTCCTGCTTTTTAACTTTGGCAACAATTCTAAAGAACGTTAATTATGGTGCAGGATAAACAAGACATTACTGCGGGCCAGTTAAGCCAGCTGGTGCGAGGCAGTGAGTCCACGCCAACCCTCATCGTACTTTCCTGCGTCTGCCAGTTTGCTCATCCTCTTCTTCCGCTGAGAGTGCCCTTTCTACTCAAAGGACCACGTGAGACTCAGTCCCACTAACTACAGTGAGCACAAACTCTTTCTAGGGTCCCCAAATTGAAAAATGTTCTCCTTCCTCAGTGTTTTTCAAGTACCTTCTCTGTGATACCATTTGTACCATCTTTCTTGAAAATAATTGTGTCATATCTACAATGGTACTAAATCCAGAAAGGCAGAAATGATTTTGTAGGAAATGTGATGTGATATTTAAGCCCTTTCATATAATGTCTTGTGTATAGTAAAGGTTAAATATCTGATGAGTGAAGGGCTTCTAAAATTGTCTCTTTGAAATGAGCCAACACAAGAAGGTGGATGTCAAACCAAAACGTGAATGTTTGAATATTTTTAAAATCATTTCTGATAGTAGAGATGACTTACATTTTTAACTTTATCGGAATTGGTAGGAATAAGAAGGTATATGGGTAGGTATAATTCCTGACAGTTCTAAGAGTAATTTTTAAATTAATACATTAAACAGTGCAGTAACCAAAATGATAAAAAGCAATATTTTTCTAAAGCTGATACTTGAAGTCATTCAAATATCATACATGATTTTAATACACAAGCTACAACTTTATACAAGTAGATGGTTTGCTTTCAAGTAACATCCAAAATGGCTCATACCTTATGAATTATTTGGAATTGACCTTCACCAAAACAGTGGCACTGATGTATTATTAAACAGAAGTCCTACTTCCAACCCTTCTGCAGTGTTATATTTTAAGCCTAATAGAAAAAGAAAAGGAGATGTAAGAATAGGTACTAAAATCACCTGCATAGAGGAGATATACAGTGTGCTTTTCAATAATTCCAGTTTATTAAATAAATCTAACAACAGTACAATAAATTTAGTAACCTACATATTAAGTTCATTCACGAAAATGAACATCTGTAAGAGCTCATAGGCAATAAAACCTTGACAAGCTCTAAATATGAAAAGGGCAGGCCTTTAAAAATATTTATTTCAAGCCCATTCTTAGCAGATACAATGTTATTTATTATCCACTTTATAAAATATTTCTCATATGTTATCTCCTTTGATAAATACAACACTGCTAAGAAGAAAAGGCAAAACCTGATAGTAATTCTAGAATGAGAAACTAATTATTAGAAAATTTAGGTGATTTTCTAATTTGAACTTTTACCAAGCAATGAAAACAGAGCTAGGTGCCATGCCTCTAGACAACAACTGGAGTTCTTTCCAGCATACCATTTAACTCCTCACGCATTTGAAGTACAGTTATGATATATATTACTATATCTTTGTGGCAATACTAAGAGGCTATCTAGTCTATTTCATAAAGTAAGACACAATTTTATTGAAATTACTAAAGAGAAATTATAATGAATTTCTTCATAAGATGACCTAAATTATTCATTTACTAGTATTCTCTTAGTATGTGCTCTAACTCTTCCTTGGTAGCTGTAGATTTCTATTGGAGGAAGGTGTTCTAAGGAAATGAATCTTCTCTTGTCCATTTTTGGGGCAATTACCTGATCTCAATCAATCAATACTTACCTTCTTGTTTCTGGTGACTGGTTCACTTGGGAACATAAACATGGGTAGATCCAATCAGAATGCTCTTTCATCTATTCTAACTGCAAAAAACATAGCCCTGGGAGTGTTAATCTCTACTTTGGCAACCAACTTAATGAGAAGTTCTCTTCTCCTCACAAAGCTCACTTGTCCAGTATCATATTCTGGGTACATATTTCATAGAACACTCCTCACCAACAGCTCTTGATCTTCATCAGGGAAAAGTGAAGTCACCACTATTTAAGGTAAATCTTAGAGATACTGGCCCTATGAAAGCACCGAGCTTTCCACCATCTTGTGTTGGCTCAGGTTTTATGGGACCTCCTTTAGTTATGTGAGCCAGTGAACTATGTAAGAAAGTTAAACTCACAATTTTAATCACTGCTAACTGAAAGCCTTCTGCTTGCTGATACATTTTTAAATTCTGAACTATAAGTAGTTCCAGTCTTCCCCAGCAATTTATTATTGTTTATAATGACCTACACTCTCCAAGTTACTACTGTCAAGCAATATATTATACTTACTAGACTCCGACTGTGTATAGGTTCCGATACAGTGTGGGAGGCTTAACTTGTGGTTAAGTGTTCAGTGAAGTCACAACGACTATCTAGTACCTACCCAAGGCTTTTTTCACTTAATTTATTCTATGTCTCATTTCCTGTTATTAAATCTCAGTCACGTTTTTTGTTTGTTTGATTTCTTGTTCTTCCTTAGAACTTATTGTACGCATTTTCTTACTCTCATGGGTCAATTCTGATCTCTCTTTCATTGTTCACATCATTCAGAAGTGATCTTTGGAAAATGATGAACTGCAAATGAAATCTGAAAAACGTTTTAAAACAAATAAAGTGGGAAAAATTGTACTTTTTAAAGAACATACTCTCCTAAATATGAAACTAGTTTTTCTAATGTTAACTTATCTGAAATAAAGTTTTCTTGTATTTATTTCATAGAACAGTTCTCACTGGTAGCTTTGGTTTAAAATAACAATTGGAAAAAATACAAAATAAAGTAATGATTGGTTCTTACACTGTATGACATAATTTCTGTTAACATCCTTTCTTACTCATTTTAAAATTTTTCCTCCACATTTTGCCTAATGAATTGAGAGTTACTTACTAAATATTTTTTAAATGAATTACCATCTATGCTTCATGGTCATCATTTCCATTTTTTTTTTGTTTGTTTGTTTGTTTTTTTCTCTGGTACCGGGACTTGAACTCATGACCTTGCGCTTGCCAGGCAGGTGCTGTGCCGCTGAGCTAAAGCCCCAGCCCCATCATTTTCATTCTGATAGAAAAAATATGGCAAGATTTTTAAGAAATAGTGAAAACTGTTCAATATTAATTCAGTATTATCAATAACTACCTATTTTACCTGAGATGAGGGTAATTTTCAGCAGTAATAAACATTAATGCCAATTACCATTTATTGGAGGACTTACATTGAAACAGGCACCATTCTAAGTGTTCTGCTTACCACTTTGTTCAACACTTACAATTTCTCTGTGATGTGCACAGTATTATTCAACCTATTGCGCAAAGAAGGAAACAAAGTATCTGAATCTTCTACAGCGATCTACTTAAAGCTCCCAAGGGTCACTAACTAGTGAGTGGCCATGCTTGAATTGAAACTCTTCTAGTCTAGTAAGCTGAAATGTCTTACAGAATCAGAAACATATGCCATTTGCACCCTCACCCAAGTACAGAGGGCTACACTTATTGGAGCTTTGATTTATGGGGTTAGAAATTTGCCATGTGGCTATTAAGTGTCCAGGAAAATCTCTGAGAGCCTTAACTTAAGATGACCATTTCTTTCCCTTCCAGAGCTAATCAGAGTCCTTGGACTAGGAATGTAGAGATGGATATTGAGGCAATAGTTACTGAGTGGCTACGAGGTATTTTTAGATATTTTGTTCTTCAAAGAGCAGAATATTCTGACCATCTTGTAGTAATCTGGATATCAATAGTAAGTACAGAGAAGAGTTCAAAGCTTTGCCCAATTCTTCATAAAACATCTCAGTGTTTACCCAGAGTTTTTAAGTAAGGATACAGAACAGAGGGAGTTTGCGACCAGAGCATATCTGGGGTTTGACTGGCAAATAGACATAAACTGCAATTTTGATTTCCTCCCCGCTCCAGACGATGGATGCAATCATACATTTATTATAGCACTGATCTGAAATGAAAAAGAAACCTTGAAGTTTATATTCTACTTATTCTACTATTCAATATAATTACGCTTTGCTGCAATTCACCACAGATAGGTTTCCACTGAATTCTTTTAGGAATCTTATTGCTAACTATAATTGTGGGGCTGTGTTGCAATGTTATTCAGCTACTTGGCTTCAGATTCAGGAAAACAAATGACCTAACTGACAGCAGAATTTTGTGTATTTGGCTGGTGATAAAGATACTCTATTTTTATAACTGTTGGAATTTCCTTTGTCAATATGATTATCTGATAACTATCTTTAACATCCAGAATGCACATGATCAGGAATCTATCTTTACAAGACCCTCATATTAAAAATCCATTAAAGTGACTATCAACTTTTAAAATGATTGAAGTTTAGTTGATACCTCAGTGCCTTATCACAGAACTTTTAGAAATTTGAAAAGGAGATCTTTAATACTAGACTATAATCTCACTGCTACTGCAATATGGAATGATAATCAGAGTCAGTCATCTATTATATTGCTTTTAACAGTAACACGGCTGTTAAAATACACCTAGGTAGCCAACTGGCAAGCTAGTAAAGGAAAAAAATTGACCAAACTGAACTTTTTGGTCTAAAAACTTTAGATAAGAAATTCTATTTGTTCAGATGTTTCCCTTACATGTATAATTGCCATTATTAACACAATTTTTTCTTTAAAGTCAAGAAATTTTTTTCTTCCTGCATAATTTCTCCCACACTCCTTTGATTATATGCTCTAAGATAATAACCACATTTTCCAGTAGGAGCTTAGGGATTTAATAAACATCAATCAATGTCACAGCTAGAAGCAGATGAATCAAAGAATACAGCAATAAAGTGCCTTCCCTGTGACACGAGTCAGTTATTTCAGAAAGGAACATTTTAGATTAAAAGTGAAATGCACTGCATGTTTATCAGGACAGACAAAGGGTTAGATTAACTATTCAGGATAAGAGAAGAGAAAAGAGTTTCGCTCCAGTGTGTCATAAGAAGAAAGACTCTACTTTCTATTTCTTTACCTTCACATCAAACCAGCACAGCTCTTGGGTTTAGGATATTCTGGTGAACTGTGAGAAAAAACGCGGGAATCAGCAGTCTCTGTGCTTGCAGACTGCAGTCAGGGAAGGGAACAATGTGCTCCATGCTCTGCTCCTTTCGCTCCCCGCGTGAATCCGTATGTGTCCTGATTCCAAGGGTAAGGTAGGAGTCCTGGGTTCTCCCCCTATCACGGAAGGATCATTGAGCATGGGACCACGGAGAGAAGTCAAACAAACACTAGCTACAAAAGGGAGAATCTAAAGAGAATAGCCTTGAGGACAACAGTGATGTTGAAGTATTTTCCCTCTTACTCTGGAAACCCACCTCAGCTTTACACTTAACTCACATCAGAAATGGAGTACATCTGAGGACCCTTGAGTGCTCCATAGACATTATGATGCATTATTAACATTTCATAAGTGTACAGCTGTGGCACAGAGTCTAAATAGCCTAGGTGTCTCTGGTTGAAAAGCACAAACACCCTGAAGTGTATGGATGGCTTTAAATGTCCCCAATCTGTTTCCGTACACCCTAGGGACTGCAGAGTACAGTGCAGCTCCTACCACTGCCTCAGGAACGTAAGATTGATGAAGTCAACTGATACGCGATCCTTTTAAAGCTTTCTTAGAATGTCTTAGCTTTAAGCTTACAATAATTTATTCAAAAAGCAGGCCAGGGTCACACTACAGAGCATTACGCACCTGTTTCAGCCACATCACTGATTGCTCACTGTTAGCTCGGCATGAGCTTTCAGACCCCATGTGACATTATGTAAAATATTTTTGATAGCATCTTTGGCTAAGACAGAAGTTACTATGGAGATCGCACCATTTTCTGCTACCAAAGTTTGAATATGCTAATAATCCTCATAGAACAAACAAAACTGTTTCACATACCCTTTCTTTCCAGCAAGTTTAAAATGTATCACACATCGCGAACCCTCTAGAGTAGATGACTCAGGGAGACAGATCTGGAAAGCATGCAGTACATTACAGCACTTTCACCCGGGCGCTGATTCCAGAAGAGTGACTTTGCTAAATGGACTGAAAATCTCAGCTTTACCTAGGACAGTGCTGAATTAAATACATCCCTATGACACAGTTTACTCCTGAGTAGAACCGTGTCTTCATGGCTTTCATCCCACTTAAATTTCTATGAAATTTAAGGTTTAAATAGCAAGAGGAAAAGAAAAACACAAAATCAAAAAGGGTGATTTCAAAATGACCTGTAAGATCACCATAAGCAATGTAAAAGAGCTAAAATGAATTCTATCTTTATAGATTTCAGAGGGAGACTGAACTCAGTCTCCAGAGCTAATGTTCAATTTGGAAACATTCGTCACTTTGAAAACTGCTGTACTCTAGGCTATGTTAGTGTTATGGTTTGTGCCTGGATGTCCCCTCAAATCCTCGTGCAGTCATGGGACAGGCTTCTAGAATTTATAATTGATTCATGGTCCAATGTCAGGGTTCTGGGTGTGACTGCTACACTCACCTGGGGTGGATAGTTTGCACACAATGTAAGGGAGGGAAAGAGGCTGCCTGCCACCCCTCCTCCATGTTGGTCTTTTTGCCTTTGCTGTTTTCTGCCACCATGAACACTTGCCCTCTGCCATGTGTCACTCTGCCTTGGAGCCAGCCAAGTATGGGCTGAAACTTCCACAAACTGTAAGCTAAATAAACCTTTCCTTTCTTAATTTTTGGTGTCAGGTGTTTTGTCTCAACAACGAGAGAAAAGTAACCAAGGCAGTAAAGTATTTCATTCTTTTGGAAGACCTCTCTGAATTTTTTACATCTTTGGGTTCCGATAACATCATCTACTATAAAATGCATAATTTTCTTAAATTGGACTAGCCAAATCAGGGAGCTCTTTGTTTCATAATGTCTTCTCTTCCCCTGAAAGATGAATTTCACTCATTTGTATTCTATCAGCATTTGACATACTCTCAAAAATTGAGTATATGTGCTGTCAAAGCAAACACATAATCTCAAAATTAAGTCAAATTTATTCTCATAAATAAATCCTTATCTTCCCTGATTAGAAAACATTTTACAAGCTGAGTACCACCTTAATGTTTGTATTTAACTTCTTTGTCAACAAATTACAAGAATTAATCACTGAACTTAATACTCAACATGGGAAGCAAACCAATTTTAAACACAATTATGCCACCACTATGGAAAACCTCGCTCCCTCATCTTTACAAGAAAATGGCTAATAATAGAATAAGGTCTTCGCCATGCACACTGATCTTGTCATGGATACCAGAGATAGTCTTGCATATTTCTACATGTACAGCCTTCATATGTAATGACAGGCTCTCAGTACAGCCACAAAGAGTGTCCAAAATGTTCATGGAAGACCAGACTCAGAAATTTGTGAAAGACAAAATTCCCCTATGGTTTGGTATAGTGCATGAATTTGTGCCAATGCTGTTTTTAAAATATCTAAATATTTAAATGAACTATTTTAGATCACTAGCTTATAGCAAGTGTTGCTTATGAGTGGTTTGTTTTATTATCAAAAGTCATAATACAGTGTTTCAAAGAAGCCATAGGCTAATCATTACCAAAAGAAAGATAAATAAATAATCCTTTAGTACCAATGGTGGAAATTCAATCATTATTTCTGACAGAATTAATGAAACATTAGTACTACATTCCACTCTTCAAGAAATTAATCAATTTTAAATATTTTGCTGTAATTCATCCTAAAATGTCTACTTCTTAGTCCTCCTCAAAACAAGGTGTGAAGGCCGACATTTGCAGCTGTGAGGGAAGTACAGGGTGATCAAATAAGAATGGCACAACATTTGTTTATTCATTTGTTTATTTGGTTTTGGTGCTGGAGCTTCATACATGCCATACGTACAGTCCAGACTGAGCTACTTCTCTACCCCTACAAAGACATATCTTAAATAGAAAAGTCAAGTTTAGATAAGGTCCTCTATGAAGCATATTGGAGTACACAAAAGTTTGCCCAAGTAACAGGGCAACAAAGAATCTCCTCTAAAAATAGAAATGTTCCCTCCCATAGATTTTGCTATAGCTGAGCTCTCTTTGGAAATAAAATAGTCCTTTTTCATTTGGTTATATTTGTTTACAAGTACTTTTATCTACTCTGCATTGTAAATGTAATTATTATTTCTCAAATATTTGTCTTCTCACTTTAAATATTGATAAACCTTCAGCCCACATGGTTCTGTATTATAAATTTAGAGCTTTTGTTTCATTTATACATATTTATGTCTGTATACAGGCATTGATATTCTTATTTAGTTTTCCTCACTTCGTTTATGGAAAAATTATAACTTGTCCAGGACTATGCTGTGGAGAGGAGAGATCATCCTGAAGAGTTCCCCAACTTACTCAACGACTATGAATCCAGGACCCCCATGCTGAGTTCAATGTCCCCCAGGTCTAAACATCTTCTGTATCCCTAGGGGTGTCCTGCGGGTGTGTGGTCTTCAGACACGTGCTTCTTTCGTTCCAAAGCTTCTCTAGGTTTGATCTAATCAGAAAAATCACAAACTTGCATGTTTGCCAACTTGTTAGCTCTTTAATACCATTTAATAGAGTGAGTCGCTTTAAAGCCTTTTCAAAACTAGTCATCTCATTGTGGATTTTTACAACTCATATAAATTATATTCACTGCCCTTTCCCAATCTCCTGCCATAACACCATGTCTGAGTCCTTGTAGGTAATGTCAACCACCATGGCCACTGTCATATCATCCATCAAGGCCTCACAGAGAACAGCAGGTCTGGTTCTTTCCCACTTGAGTTGACTATTCACTGAAAACAGCAGTGCTTCTCTACACTATGTGTCCCTTTGCCTTGTTTAATTCCTAGTTTAGATTCAGATTATCTATAAGTCATAAGGCTGTGCTGACAAAATTAAGTTATAGGTTTGTCTTCAGGCTAGTGTGAGATGAGAGGAGAGGAAAAAAGATTTACTATATACAAATCACACCAATAAGTGAAGTCTATGTCACTCAGACGTTTTCATAGATATTGTCATAACATGACCAAGCCCTAATCTTATTAGTATTTGGAAATTCATATATGATATTTATTGTGTAATCAGTATGATTGAAATTATCATTTTTGGCTGACGTATGTTCTTAATATCATCTATTGAGTTCATATTTATAAACAGCAGCTGTTTGGACTATTAATTTCTATTGAGCTCACTTGCTAGGTAGAATTAAATGGCTTCTCATTTGTTTTTAGCTTATATAGGAGACACACAGATAATTGTTATAAACTTTGAAAAGATAAGTTCATATTACTCTTCAACATTTTAAAAAATAATTGTTATTTATGTTGATCATATCAAAGTTAACCTAAAATAACCTATTGCACTTGTTCAGAAGGATGTGGAAATCTAAGAATATTACTGAATTATTTCTAAGAAGATCATTAAAGGCATGAAATCTTTTTTGGTGCAGTGTCTTAGCAGTGCACTCCAGAACTTCTATGTTTGTATTTCTTTCTCCATACTGCATTCCTCTTGCCAGTTATTTCTTTACTCTCTACATAGAATAGGGGGATTTGACATTTAGGCAGCATTCCTTCACTCAGCAAGCATTAGTTAAATTCTAACAATGGTATATCCCAGATATCATGCTAACCCCACACATACTGAAATGATTGGGAAGAAGGAAACATATGTGAAATATATGAAGCATCCTAAAAGTAATAAGTATATTAAAATTTATTTCCCATTATTATATTATAAATTATTTTTAAATTCTACAAACAAATATAAAGACTGATTTAATGCAAATCTATGTAGCCATTGCTCAGTTTTTTGGGATTTTTTTTTAGGACATTATCAACAGTTGTTATTTGACCTATTGGTATCTTCAAGATCATTTCTCAGGAAAACAAATAGACAAATAATAGTGAGCTACAGACAAAAAATGGCAGTAAATTATCAGTGGTTGTTGTACTATACTTTGGTTTCTCCAAAGTGGTCTCTAGGGAAAACAAGTTGAACTATACATGAATGATCAATCAAATAATCATTGACTGATTTCAATGGTTGTTGTTGAAAACACATAGTAACAAACATACATCCATTTACAAAATAACATAGGAATAATACAAATATTACAAAGTTATGGACAGACTGGTAGGAAATTATCAGTGGCTGCTACAATACATGTTGGCATCAAAGTGCTTTCTCAGGAAAACAAAGGTGTGCAAGAAAGATCCAACAAGTAGGTACAGCCCAAGGGTTGTGAAAAATAGTGGGTTACCTCATCAGTGACTCCCCTCACTGTGGTGTGATGTCTGGAAGGAAGGCAAGGACTGAAAAGAAGGACCGAGAGACCAGCACCAGTGTCCAGCAATGGCCCGTCCACTTTTTCCTCTATAGTCACGATTACATGAGGCTCCTCCTTGGAGAAAACAGTCCTTCTCCATGAAGGTGGTTCTACAGAATCTGAATTTGGGGCACCTATGTAATCCATGAAGTCTTGGCGCAGACCTCTCTGGAGCTCCACTCGCTCCTCCACCTCAGCCTGTACAGTCAGGGGAAGAATGGCCTCCAGGGGGTCTCCCGGGTATTGCACAAGGTCCTCCTGATTTCCAGCTCCCAAATGGCTCTCAGGTCCCCAGTCAGCTCGACCTCTGAGTAGTTGGGCATTGGTACTCTTGTGTTCTCCAAGTCCTTGTTCATCAGCTGCTCCTCTGCTGACTCTGGTCCTTTCTGGCTCTCAAGGGCAGGGCCAACAGCAATCTGCCATGTGGCATGTTTTCCCAGAGGTATCTCCATGTCAGGATGGTTCACGGATGTCTCTGGGTGGGTCTATTGTGTCAGTGCTTCTCTGTGGCATGGTGGTTCTCGACCTCACAGTGACGGCCGGCCCCAGGGCCTGTGCACATGTCCGCACTGCTTCCTGGGGGCCTGCTGCTTGCCTTTCTGGGTGCCTGCACAGCAGGGCTGAGCTGGGCCCATGAGGGTTCAGTTTTAACATAACTTAACATTTTACAAGAGCTGCTGGTCCCACAGTTCGAGTCCGTGCTTTACTTCCACCATCACAGTTCCCAGCTGAAACTTGCAGAGAAAGCCAGATATTTCCCATCTACTTCTTGGGGGCACAGCAGGCAACCCAGGACCCCATCACCATTGCAGTCTGAGTCTCTGCTCTCTGTGCACCTGTGGCAGCAGGAGGTCCTCACTCACAAGCCCCAGGGACTGCTCTACCTTGGAGGCGCATGTGGATCCTCACTGCACATGCCCTGCACTGAGTGAGCAAGTGCTCCAAGAGCTGTTGGTCCCACAGATCGAGTCCGTGCTTTACTCCCACCTCCACAATTCCCAGCTGAAACTCACAGAAAGAGCCAGACAGAAGGTCCTCGCTCAGAAACCTCAGGGACTGCTCTCAATGAGGTGAGTGTGTGACCCCTCCCTGCACGTGCCCTGCCCCGAGTGAGCAAGTGCTCCAAGAGCTGCTGATCCAGCAGTTCCAGTCTGTGCTTTACTTGAGCCCAGACTCCCTGGGGGGGTCACAGGCATAGGCAATCTGTTATTGCTGTCCATCCGGCCTGCATCTGGTTGCTATATGTGTCTTGAACACACTGGAAACATAGAATCAGGGGATTCTCAAACTGTCAACCCTGCAGTTTGTGTCTGGGTTTTGCCTGTACCCTGAACTGCCTGGGGACATAGGCCCATTGGACCAGGATTGTCACACCAGTGCAACCCAAGTCTGGGCTGGGCATGTGCCCTGAACTGCAAGGGGACACTGCATCAGATGATCTGCCATCAGCTGACACCAATGCCCGCGTCTGAGACCTGGGATAATTACATACGAATCAACAACTGCTGGAAAAAACGAGACTAAGTAGTGCTTCACAGGGGTCACTGAGGGGCAAACCTGACCAACAGGAAAACTAGGGACACTAGTGGCTTTTGCTGTGCAGCCACTGAAGAGGGAAACTGAGCTTTCTGCATCCAGTAGCAAATATGACAAAACGAAGGACTAAAACACAATCCCAGAACTCCAAACCACTCAGAACAAATCCAGGAGACATTGACATAGGAGAACTTGAAAAACACATGCCTGAAATAGCTGAAATGATTGCAATGGAAGTAAAGAAATGATTCCATAAGATGATAGAAGAGATGAGATCGGAAATAATCTCTCAGGCAAAAAAGGAAAAGACAATAATAATGAAGGAACTGCTCAAAAAGTCTGAAGAAGAAACATGTAAGAAAATAGAAGAACAAAGGCAATGGACAGAAGTGTTAAATGAAAAATAAAGAAAGGATGTAGAATGCATGAACCAGATTCAAAGAGACTTCCAGGAAAACACAGCTCCCATTGAAAACTACCAAAACTGCTTGAATTAAGCTGAAGGTAGAATCTCAGACCTTGAAGACAGCATGGCAGCTAGCAACCCTGAAAGAAAGGATCTTGTAAAATCAACAAGGATCCAGGAATAGGCAATTCAACACCTGCAAGATGAAGCAAAGAGGAATAATGTACGACTTATACTAGTCAATGAAACAGCAGGAGGCAATACAACTGACATAAAAAGAATATTTGCAGAAATAAGATCAGAAAAATTCCCAAGTATGGAAGCAGAACCTGATACATAGTTAAAGGAGGCATATAGCACTCCAATCAACCACAACCAAAATAAAACTACACCCAGACATATAATAGTCAACTTCCCAGATCTCCAGCAAAAGAACAGAATATTAAACGCTGCTAGAGAAAAGAAACAGATTACCTATAAAGGAAAGCCCATCAGAATCACGGCAGACTTCTCAGCACAAACCATCCAAT